GGATATAGCTCGCTAGCAGCCTCGCACCGAGGACCTATCCACGTCATCATTTACCCAGAATGCTTTGCGATTAAATAAAATGGCCCCGTCCGTGTAATATATTTTTAAACTTTTAGTTAAAAAATTTACAAAATTAAACATCCTGCAGTATTTTTACAGTCTTTAGTTTAGTTTAAATACATGTTTATCAAATAAAGTCTAATGTTACAACTAATTGGGGTTCCCTTTAAAAGTCTGCTGAATGTTCAACACACAATCAATGAGGGCTTTAATGAAAGGTGACTCCTGGATAACTGAATCATGTTTTTCAACCAGTCACCATGATTCAGGGGTGGATCTAGGATTTTTCTAAGTAAGGGGCCATCAGGGGGCCACAATATTGTTCAGCATCCTTGCACACAAATCTCTGCTTTTGGTAAAGTGTATTTATTTTACCAGTCTCACATTTAAACACTGTAAAATGTAGGGTTCACCCCACTCTTCTTATAACGAGGTTATAAGGAATTATTTTAGTAAGGATCACTTTATTTTGAATTTACAATAATGTAATTATAAAAAAGCTTACAGAGTAAATTCTCCCTACCAATTTTACATACATATTTACAGTACATAAATAAAATACTCAAACACACAGCATGTGAGAGAATCCAGCCATCATTTTTTAGTTGAAAGACTTTTTCTGGAGGATTGTTCAAATTCGAAGAACAGAAAAATCGTCTGTCAGCTTGATTCTTGCTGGACTTTTCTATTTGACTCATTAGTGCCTCTAGTGTTTGGGCATGGAACTGCACCCAGCATCATCCCTCTTGGCTCTTTTTCTGACCAATTCCAGTACTTCTAAACATTTCCACTTCTACTATACATTTTGCCATCTTTTAGTATGAAAAACCCCACAAACCTCTCTTTAGGTTTAGACGTAAACTTAAAAGTCAGACATAAGTTTCTCCTACCGAAATCGTCCTCACAGTTGGGCACAGTGCAGTACGCCCAACTCGAATCAGTGGTGAAACACCAGGGCTTTGTGTCGTTATCAGGGTTTCTGCAGTAGTTTTCATCTAAACCTCTGAAAAAGCCCAACACACAAAAACAAATGAGAAGAAAAAAACTTAGACTCAAATGACCGTCATCAAAATATCAAATATTTTGCTTGGGTTTATATTTACTGAATAA